AGTACAGCGGTGGTGGTGGGAGCCTCTCCTGCCTCCTCAGCAGCGCTAAGGATGTCTGACTGCAGCTTAGGTCTGCTCCCCGCTGGCAAGTGGACATCCCCCGAGGGCTGCCGGGCTGCCAGAGGGATGTCTGATTGCCATCTTAGGCCCAGTCCCTCGGGGAGCAGGCCTAAGCCAGCAGGTGGTCACTCCCTGAGGGTTCCCAGACTTCGAGAGGGCACAGGCCGGGCTGAAGGACTTCCCCCCCCCCCCCCCCAGTGCACAAATTTTTGTGCACCAGGCCTCTAGTAGGATAATAAAAGCATGATATGCTAATTAGACCGGACAGCCGAATGACCTTCCGGACGTCATTTTGGTTGTCCTTCCGGACGAAGCCGCCATAGTGGGGGCTGAGGCAGAGGTGGTTAGGGGCAATCAATCAGGTAGGCGAGTGATGAGGGGTGATCAGGCAGGCAGGCAGAGTGATGAGGGGTGATCAGGCAGGCGAGTGGTTAGAGGTGATCAGGCAGGCGGCGAGCAGTTAGGGGCGATCAGGCAGGCAGGTGAGTGGTTAGGGGCAATCAGGTAGGTAGGCAAGCAGTTAGGGGCGACCAGGGAGGCAGAGTGGCTAGGGGTGATCAGGCAGGCAGGCAGGCGAGCTGTTAGGGACAATCAGGCGGGCAGGCAGAGGGGTTATGGGTGACCAAGAAGGCAGGCGAACAATTAGGGGCAATCAGGCAGGCAGGCAGAGGGGTTAGGGGTGATCAGACAGGCAGGCGAGCAGTTAGGAGCAATCAGGCAGAAGGGTTAGGGGCGATCAGGCAGACAGGCAGGGGAGTGGTTAGGATCCAGCAGTCTTGGATTGCGAGAGGGATGTCTGACTGCCAGTTTAGGCCTGATCCTTGTGGGACATCCCCCGAGGGGTCCCGGGTTGCAAGGAAGTGCAGGCCAGGCTGAGGGAACCCGCCCCCCCCCACCCCCATGTATGAATTTCATTCACTGGGCCTCTAATTCTATTATAAATGTGATACTCCACACAGCAAAGATGGACTGAAAGCATTTTGGAATTTTAATTCTGCCACAAATATGAACAGCAGCTGTGTTTACAGAAGAAAATAAATGCCTCCAACTGCTGGAAGCTATCCATAATCTACACAATCATGAAAGTGCAAACAGGGAACCCAGAAGGCTGATAAACCTTGAGCTTTGGCAAGGGCTAAAGCTATGCACCGATTGTTCTGTTGAGACATAGTGGCTCAAGCAATTTCCTGACCTAATAGTCTCAAAGTAAATCTTTACTAATATTTCCTGACCTTTAAGATAGTCTGTCTGTTACCGGATTGCCTGACTGCCTAAGGGCAAGATGTGTATCTAAAATTGAATAAAAAGCTAACAGGGCCTGGGCACCAGTGAAGCC